TATATGCAAATAGCGTCTTTCAACCTGATGGGCATGAATACAAAAATTAAGGGAAGACTGCACAACACACCGACCCCGTTTAAGTCAGTTCTGTTATTAATAAAATGCAATATTTACCGGATTCCCACCCATATGTCAGCACTTTTAATCAGCAATGACAGGCCAGGGATTTAACTACTAAAACACATATCAACTGAAGACTATTCTATTGACTCCTTTTTTGTTTTGGCTCCCATCCCTGGGCTGCGTGTTGAGCCCCGTGTCAACCCAAACTGCACTGCTGGCCACAAACAAGTGGGCCACATGTGGGCCGTGGGCCACGTGTTGAGTAGCCCTGCCCTAAGCTGAATTTGTCAATGAACCGTTACTGTAGTAAGCCCTCTGTAGCCGTGGAAGGTGAATGCTTCTCCAGTTAGTACTCATTGAAAATGCCTTCCCAGCCTGTTTATCATTAAATATTCACTAAGACATTTAGCACTAGGGATATCTGCTGGGATTAAGGTGTAATTTTACCTCTAAAATACATTGTTGGCTTCCTGGGTAATGCTGTGGTCTTTTGAACTTGCACCTGTCTCTTCTTCTGCATAACCCCCTTCCCCTCTAGTCCTCCTTGTTTATTTCCTGTGCACATTCCATTTGCTTGTAAAAGTATAAGCAGTTGAGCAGTGCTGAAGGTTGCCTAGGAATATTTGCTACTTGTTGGGAACTGGCTCCCAGCATTTGGCTAGGCTGGGGAGTGGATGGTTTGTGAGGTTCCTCGGAGTAGTTTGGCATACCTGCAGGCACAGCTTCACAAGGATTTGGTTCAAACACTAATAAAGCTACTATAGCGTGGGAGGTCAGATTTACTTTGCATTTAGAATATTTTGCTCATTTTGCACCTTTTAGGTGAAGTGTTTAACAGCCGTTACAGACCTGAATGAGTGTTAGCCTCACAGCATCCTAGTCAAGACAGGTGAATAAACAGAAGGTAGCTAAGGGTTAAGTGACATGCCCCGGGCATGAGTAGCTGGAAGTAGAAGGTAGGTGGTCAGAGACTTGGCTGCCAGTCCTGGCTCTAATTACGAGATCTCATATTAAGCACAGTCATCGTGTACTCTTGCGGTTAGCAATGGCTGAAATGAGACCGTAAAATTGTTCCCATGGGCAGTGCTACTGGGGGGAGGAGATACTTGGCAATAAATTGGTTGTGGGAGCACCATTAATTTGTTTCAAGGCTGATCAGACATTTTCATTAACATTTCATCTCTAACTTGTGCAGCTTAGGAAGCTTGAAAAAAAACCACTCAGTAGAATCCCTCCCTTTCCCAGTCATTGCTGAAAGGGTCATAACAGCCTTGCAATTTACTCCGTGTTCACATTGCCTTAGGAAAGGTACGGAAGGGAATGGAGCAAGAAAGCCCCAAGCAGTAATGGGAAGGGTTAAGCTGTGTTCCTATTGAACACATGACAAAGACAATGTAATCAAGCTGGAGAAGTTTTGGAATATGTTGTATTTATCTCGCACGCTGTGTATAGGAAAAGTTGTCGGGGTTGGTTTTGTTTGAAGTGTGATGTTCGGAGATGGCGCAGCGTTTGCAGCAAAGTGTCTGATGCTCCCCAGCTGGAACCAGCTGGAGGTGGTGCAGGGAGTCGTTTACTGATCATTGGAGCTGGCCCATCTTTGAAAGGGAGAAAAAGAGAAATTTGGCTCTCCTCTGTGAAATAAACCACCCTCCTCAAGCCACCAGCTGCAGCACAAGAAAAAGCAGCAGCTGAACAGACAAAAGTCACCTGGAAACTGCTTGAACATGTCTCAAGCCAAAATAGTATCTTCTACTTGACCTACCTTTTCCTTTCCTTCTTAAAGGGGGCCCAATTGTAAACTCTGGAGCATTGTGCTTTACATGCATTATATACATATATTAATATTTAAAAAAAGCATCTGTTTCTACTTCTGGGGTGCTCTGCACATCCAAAGCCATTTCATCTTAAAGAGTTGCTGCTTTTTAGTAATCACCAGGTAATCTATAGATTTTTTTTTTTTTTTAATGTTCTTTTGTATGAATTTAGAATTCCTGGTAATTTACAGCTGGATTCTGATTGCAATTACAAAAAGTCTTGGATCAGAGTTGAATGCATAGTCCCTAGTTCAGCAGAGCTTTGAAACACATGCTTAAGTTTACTTCTATTTAGGAATTCAGCCAAACTCAAGAAGTGGGCTGTGCCCACAAAAGCTCATGATACCAGCTACATGTTTTGTTACTTTTTAAAATTCTACCAGACTATTCATTGTTTTTTAAGTTTTTCCTATTTAGGAAACCACTTAAGAAGGTGTTTCTCTTTTGCGTCATCTGAGGAAGTGGGTTTTGCCCATGAAAGGTCATGATACTATATATTTTAGATCATGATATTTTATATTTTTGTTAGTCCCTAAGGTGCCACAGGACTCCTTGTTTTTAAAGTTACAGGCTAATACGGCTACCCCTTTGAGACTTATGTTTTAGGTGTATGTTTTGGTGAACACACAAATGGATTTAAGGATGTTGCTTAAAGTTTAGGCATGTGTTTAGGTACTTTCCTGAATTGGGGTTTCAACCACTGTTTGTTTTAACCTTACTTCTTATTGCATTAATTTGAAAGGGACCTTGTCAGCATGATAAATCATATCTCTGTCTGAAAATTGGAACCTGCTGACATGACAAATTCAGATGAATGCTATGGTGCAGTCGGCACAAGGGAAATTCTTTTTTCCAGGTGTTTAATTTATGGCTCTGACAGCCCCTTTTGCATAGTCAATTGCACCATTTCCCCCTAGGCATACAGTCAGAATAAGCAGTCAGGCTATGAGCACTAATTCATTGGGTATGTCTGCCTGGGGATTAAAAAAACCACACGGCTGGTTCAGGGCTGCTGATTGAGGCTCAGGCTTTGGGTTAAAAATCACTGTGTAGATGCTTGGGCTCCTGCTGTGGGGCTTTTATTGCTGTGGAGACATACTCTTTGGGGCTCCATCTGGGCTTAGGGGGGTCCCTCTCCTATAGAATTCCTTGCAGGAATGAATAGGCTGAACTATGTGTCTTCCCTGCTGAAAAGACCTTTGCATGTATCGCCAAGGGGAGTAAAAATAAAATCATTTCAAATGTTTTTAAAGAACCTTTTTTTCCCAATTTCAGGATAAAGGGCTTGATTCTCATCCTGTTTATGCCACTTAGGCCTCATACAAAGGGGCTTTCCTCACTATAAGATCCCTTTTCATGGCTAGGGTGATGCAAAAAGGGCCTTAGGATAAAATGTTCACAAGTGGCTGAGTGACTTGGGATCCTAAATCCCACGGACTTTCAATGGGATTTAGACTCCTAAACCATTGAGTCCTCTCTTGATAGTTTCACCCTTAGCATAAATGAGAATTTGTCTCCTCACATTCCAAGGGTGAGTCATCGGACAGTGTGATGTTTGAAACAGACTCATTTAAATGCGACACGGCCCTTCTCTTCAAAGGACCAGCTTAATCTTTGGAGAAACAATCTGTTTTTATTAATGAGAGGGAGAGAGAACATTATGCGGTGGAGAGTGACCTTTCCTCCTCCTGCGTTAGAAGCGTTTTCAATTCACCATTTGTGAATTGAAACATTTGTTGTTTTTAGGTATTTTCAATTCTGTGAGCTGGGTTCCTATGAAAGGGTTTTGTCTGGACTTTTAAAGGCGGGGAGGGTCCGGAAACAGAGGGAGATGGCAAAGGGACATGTTCAAAGATAAATCCCTGCGTGTGAACATTGGATCCCATTCGGGCAAGTGTTTGTTTCAAAGAGATTCCTCTGCATCAGTAGAGCCTGGTGTTCCCATTTTGCATTCAAGAATGCTTTGGCTGGCAGCTGGCTTTGCACACCTCCCCCTTTACTTGAGAGGAGTTGGCGTGATTAAGTTGTAGCCTTTGTCTGAAATCACTTTGCTATCTCTTATTATTCAGCAGGTTCTCAAGTGTCTGTGAATGTCTCTATTTAGAGCTGTCTGTTTCAGCCATGCCGGTAATATCAATGACTGTTCATGCTGGTCTAAATTCATGTCAGTCATCTGCTTTATTTCTTGTGTCTAATGCCAGAGAGAGAGAGAGTGAGTGAGTTCTGAGTCAGGCCAAAAAAGGAGTTAGAAAGAAAAGGGAGAGCTTTTATTTTAAAGCAAACCTCTCCAGGTGCAAACCAATTGGGAGCGCTTTAATTGTTTGACAGCTGTGGAAATCCTGTGAGTGATTTGCAGTGCCTTCTGTGAGCAAAACAATTCCATGTTAAGTCTCCAGACTGTGGATGAAACTGCAGCTGGCTCGTGTCCTTAGTTTGGGGCCAGATCCCACAAACACTGGAGTGCAATGCTTAGTGCCGAGAGGAATTCTAAGCACACTGTTTGGTCTAGGGTAGCAAACACTCTGCTAGGAAGCGATTACGGGATCAAGCCCTTGCATACTGCCTCTATGCGTCAGACATCATTGTAATCCAGTTTAGAGCCGGGACTTTTTTCTAAAGGGCCTCGCCACTAGGCAAACAACTCCCAGAGACTTTCACTGGGATTTGAGGGTCTGTTTATCTATCTCCCTTTGAAAAATCCCAGCCTGCGTGTGTAACGTTGGAATCTTGGCCATCCTTAGTCGCCACTGGGAGAATTCCTGGGAGAATCCCAATCCTGTAGTCTCTTCATAATACATTTATTTTGGGAGCTAGGGAATGGGGAGGTATCCAGCCTTGGACCCAACTCTCTGGAAGGAAAATGCATCCGTGGACTCCGTAGTTAGTCTTGCACATGTTTGTGATTTACTGCAGTCTGACTAGCCAGAGAAGCAATAGGGGGCTAGCACACATTTCTCTGACACTGGTTTCTGATTGGATTGTTGCTTCAGAAATACATTGAATACCAGCGTGGAAAGCTAACTGGAGAGCGATGGTATTCATTACTCTCTCTGGTTTCATTTTTTTTTTTTTCCTTTTAAGAAAACTGAGATTCTCCAATTCTCCTCCTGTCTGTTTCAGGCATCACAACAGGATCCGCAGCATTGAAGCGAGTCCGCTGAAGCCTTACGTTGCCCTGGAAACGTTGGACCTGAGTTCCAATGACATCATGGAAATACGAAGCGGCTGCTTTCCACAGGGACTTCCCATCAAGGAGCTGTAAGTTCTGCTGGTTCAGAGCAGCGCTTGTCGAGTTACCGCAATGAGAGGGAGGCCTTTAAAAAAGGTCCGGGAACAACCATTTCAAAGCGAGCGTTTGACTTCTGGGTTCTGAGCGCAACAGCGGATTAAAACTCAGCCTGTTTTTTGGTCTCTGGTCTCCCTACCCCACCCCTTGCCAGGCTCATCTTTTTGGGATCTGTGAATAAGGCCAGGGTGTTATTTTGCCAGCTGCACCGGGCACGGTGTCCAATGACAGAGAAAGGCATGTGTGCCCTTCAGGTACGGATATCCTGCATTGCTATGGAAGCCTGAAACCCAAACAACTATCTAGAGCAGTGAAATCCAACTCTTCTTTAATGAGAGTCCTAGAAACATAAGGCTGGAAGAGAGGGTGTTGTCTGGTCCATCCCCAGGTTGAGGCAGGGTGAAGCGTACATAGCCCAGACCATCCTGGAGGGATGTTTGTCTGCCCTGAAGTCTGTGCCTCGCTTCTGAAATCAGACCCGTGTATCTGGGGAAAAGTGGCTGTTTTCCTCGTGGTTGAGTAGTCCCGTTAATATGGCTGTTGGGCAATGCCTTGGTGTTCTCCCTTGAGCCAGGCCAGAAAAACATGGCATAATCTTGATGCACATGCTGTCACTAATCTGTGTGTGTGTGTGTGTGTGTGTGTGAGATATGCATATGCTGTCACTAGTGTGTGTGTGTGTGTGTGTGTGTTTTCTAGAAGGTGCAGAATAATGCTCCTTCAGGATGTGTTTAAAACCCTCTCCACGGGTTCTGCTCCCAAGGCCTGTTGGCGCATAATGAGCATATCTGCCTTGAGTCTGCTCCCACTCCTCTGTGGAGGCCCTCCATTTCTGGAACTGGGGCCCCCAGAATGGGGTGACAGCAGTGGGGCTCCAAGTCACCCCTGACTATCTCCTCCTCTGGAGTAGGTGGTACTGAGCACGCCGCAGCTTCTGTTGCTAGGTGCTGGCAAGGCACTCTGGGAAAGCCAGTTTGTTTTCATTTGTCCCCAATTCCAACGCCGTGGGTCTCAGTTTGGAGACCAAACAAAGGCCGATAGCTGAACAATGAAGGCCTCTGATGCAACCACTATGTTTTCCATGCTGATTTATTACAGCAACCTGGGGAGCAACAGAATCAGCACCCTGGAGCCTGGTGCGTTTGATAGCCTGTCACGGTCCCTGCTAACACTTCGGCTGAGTAAAAACAGGATCACCCAGCTTCCTGTGAAGGCATTCAAGTTACCCAGGCTAACACAACTGTGAGTAGAAATGTGCACTTTAATTAAGGTTAACCAAGCTTTATGGAGACGAAATTTCCCTGAGGGCATGCACACCAAATGCAACCCTTCCTCACCCGACATCTATAAAACTTGGAATAAGCTATATTTAATAGTCCTATGGTGACACCTAATAAAACAAAGTCGCGGGGAGGGGAAGATGGGGGGGGGCGTTCCTGCTTACCCA